TGTCGTTTCACTTATAGAGGTATTCCACTTACCTAGTGTCTCAGTTATACAGGTATAAATAAATATCTGTCTCATTTACAGAGGGTTCCATTAATAGAGGGGGACTTGGAATTACGTGTGTAATTTGTGTGTAGAATAAGAATGAGTAAACAAACAATGTTATCTCAGTTACAGAGGTTTATGCATATAAAATTTACTCGCTGTCTCAGTTATAGAGGTAACTATGATGATAAATCGAAAGAACAAATCCCAGAGGTTTACCTCGTCCCACTAACAGAGGTTATTCAGTGCCAAAGTGTTGGGACCTCAGCATGAGTTCCAGTTATGGAGGTTTCTCACTTATCCAGGTCCCACTTAACCAAGTTTCACTGTAGTTGTTAAATATTTTCACTTTGGGTGCACAAAATGGGGATTCCTTTCTAGAAATAAGTATGCATGTAAACTTTTTGTAACGATGTTTTTTAGACTATTATACCACTTTAGAATCTTGGTTAGATGCGCTAATTTCCTATATAAAGTATCTATACATACTTCTTCATATACCACGGTTCAATTGACACAGGTAAATAAAATACTAAATATGTATACATCATGTACGACATTCAGGCTATTTAATGTACATAATTTTTACACATACAATTAGGCTTTAGAGTACATACTATGTAATTAATAGAGAAGTATAATTACGGCATTGTTAGTAATGGACAATAAGCCGTTAACATACTTGTATTGAAAACTAGTTTCTGCCCGCTGTATAGCTCGCGTTCTCATAACACCATAACATCACGCCTCTTACTCCCGAAGGGATAGGCACAGGTGCACATTACGGCACTTAATGCCACTATACAATGTAACACCCACTTTTCACTATATATGTTACGAGTCCCATGTAATAGGGGGGGAGCCTATTGCCATATGCCGGGCACATTTCCAGACTCCATGCTACTACTGAGATTTTTAAAAACCCAGTAATACTTTGTCCGGTAATACTCGGCCAACGAGGCAGTCTCGTTAGATAAAAACCCCTACATGTTATCCGGACCATAATCTATCCTTGTTCCTAATTTCATCACGATCTTTTACGCCGTTTTGACGTGATTGAATAACAAACATACACACTTACTTTCGCATTTATAATATTAGTAATATTATCTTCTACTTCCAAAATAGGTTATGGCGCAAGAGCGATGGAACTAGACCGTTAATTCTACCAAAAGTACCACCATTCCCAGCATTACCCATACCACCATTCCCAGCATTACCCATACCGCCATTCCCAGCATTACCCGGACCGCCATTCCCGTGGTACGATCCTCCATTACCAATTTTGTAGCTGCTATCATGATATACACTATTTACGTATATTAGCGGCACAAATCTTTTATATTTTCGTTCTAGTTTTTCTGAAATCAAACCATAAAGAATTCTATTAATATTTCTATAGTTTTTATAATACATATCGTGAGACAGACTATATTAACTAAATATCGCGGGTTACTCACGTGAATATAAGTGGTTCGAAACTAGTAGAGCTTTTTCAGTATATTCACGTGAGTAAGAATAAGTAATTTAATTACCATTAGGCATGATGCACCAAAAACATAAACATAAAATAACAATAAAAAACAACAGTAAAACACAATAATAATAGAACAACAAAGGTGGCAACATGCCCATGGCTTGCCAACAGCATGAGCTGGGCACAGCAGGTACCCAAGTAAACCGCGATTTTTAGTTAATTTCTAAAGTTATTATGTTGATTTAATAATACAAGGATATATCTCGTTAAGTCTATCTAATGCCACATTTACATTCAGCCCTATCGCTGCTCCTCGCGCTGCCGACAATAATTCCCTAAATACTGCTGTGACAGGATCGAGGGATATGTGTGTTTACATACTGCCCTTCCTCTCATTTCGCTTTCAAGTTCCGGCAATGGCAGACGTTGAAATTTTTGCAGTGTCCGCGCTGTGTCTTTTAGCGATACATAATTATGTGCGTCAGTTAAAAATAAATCCTATGAAAAAAAAGAAAAGACGTCGTAGAAGATGGTGGATTGTGTATTCATCGTAATAGAACTTTAACCACTCCGGGCGCTCGGCGTCAACTGAGCGCTTGAGCAGAATGTAAACACGCGCTGCCTCTCGCGTTGCTGGTCCTTTGAAGTCCGCACTAAAAACCGCTCTTTTGGGGAGCGCTGGGCAGCGCGAGTGGCATTAAGCAGTGGCATGAGAACTATACGTTTACATACATGTCCTGCCCACTCCCCTGCTCACTACAGCTGAATGTAAATGAGGCATAAGAAGTCTCGTCTAAATGATGTTCGCTCGAGTCATGAAAATGCCTATATATTACGTCATTATCATCTACCATATGGTTTAGGTACGCTTACCGGACTTCGAGTCTAAGAAAAGAAATTTATACGCCTGTGGTGGCAAGCCCAAATTGTCACTCACCTTTTAAAGGAGGAGCTTCGATCTGGTTATCTACTATGTTGTTTCCTGAAATGACAAAGGTCGATGAATAAACTTTTTATTGCAAGGTTTAAGGTATTAATATACTACACTTCTGCTGGTGGTGCTTCGTTTCTGATTAATTTTTGTCCTAGTAATCTTAAGATTTCTGCGAGGTAGTTATGCTAGATAAGGAGGAGGCGGGGCGCATGAGGGAACGACGCTTACGCTCCAGCTGTCGCGAGAGACACTCTAGGCATCGGGTATTGCGAGACGATCTCCGGCCACCTTAAGCACGGGCCTGCGGACAGCAAGCACGGGTGACCCTCGATCAGAACCAGACCCCAGCGTACGACGCGTCGCGTTTCGCGCGCGTCTCAAGGAGCCATTAGACCACCACAGATGGGGCCCAATAGTACTGATGCCGATACGGAACCGCGGAGGGCGTAACGGGTTACCGGGGCTCCGGCTCGAAGGGCAGGAGTAGGAACGGCCACCCCGTTTTTAGTCAGTAAGAGTCTGACACTCCCTCTCACCTCACCCGGGCGTGAGAAGTTATTGATGATTTACCCCCTCAAAAAAAAGTAATCTTCGAATAACTTCGATCATGGTGAGATCTAATGGCTTTTATACCTAACACTCGACGATAAACCTGAGCGACACTACTACGACTGACATTTAAACCCGCATTCAGTGACAATTAGACCTTCAAACAGTTTCTTTCTTGCCGAGAAATCTACGCAACGATTAGAATTAAACTGTCAAACACCAAGCGGTCACCGGTGACCGCGACCTATTGTTCTTTAATTGTGTCTATAAAACCGGTACTCGACGAGTTAAACCCTTGGGAAGCGATAATAACAGATTGATTATGAAATGCATAATACTTACCTTCTTTCTTCGGTTGAGATGGTGCTGCCAATGTAGATACGATCAACGCAAACACCAGCAGTAGAGCAACAGAACGTGCCATCTTGTGAGCAGACAATGCAATACTAATGAAAGTGAAAAATTAAAATATTTTATATTACTGATTGCATACCTAATTAAATTCCTAATTTAGTACTTTTATTGTTATATTAACGGAAAATTGGTGTTTACCTACTTGACATAACTGATACACTTAATTATATTATTAATAAATTATCTTATTTTTCGAAGGATTAATATTAATATTAAATTAAGAAGGTATTATGTTTATAGAATTAATGAAACTGTTATAAAAATAGAAATATATAAGCTTCGTGTGGAGGAAAATTTATTTAAAAATTGATTGTAGTTAGGTTTTTCGTTCTGCTATGTTTGAGATAGTGATTTAACCAATAATGTTATGTATATTTAGTAAACAGAGTTAGTTATTTCTTTAGATATAGTTTTAGTTGCTTGCTAAATAGATTACTTGTTTAGGCATTGTTTTTGCACGCGAGTGCGAGAGATATCTTGTAGTAGGTAATTCAAGAACAATCTTGAATCTCTCGTCTTATAGCCAAAATTAATAACTGATTTGAATCCAAAATCTATAAATTAAGATCGGTTTTTGACATTAGTTGTATAGAGTTTTGGTAATAAATCAACATCAATATCGAATCAAAATCTTTAATAATTTCGGCCGTTAGTAAACCATAGTTAAAAGTATCAGTATATACCTAAGGGGGCGTCCATAAATTACGTGAGATGTTTAAGAGGGGGAGGGGGTAGACTCAAATCTCATCTAATCTTACGTTGGAGAGAGGGGGCGTCTCGGCAAATATCAAGTAATTTTTTTTCTTATAGAAACAAAAAAATTATACGACTTCATAGTTCATTTATTCCAGATTGTACATGCTTATGATTTAATTGTACATGCACATGGATTTTTTTCTTTTTGCAATAACAATCCAACGCGTTAACGTGAAAAACCAACATTTTGAAAAATTTCACGTGAGACTGGGGCATGGGCATAAAATCTCACGAAATCTCACCAAGGGGGGAGGGAGGGACAGACAATGAAAAAAAAACACCTCACGTAATTTATGGATGCCCCCTAACAAGTTTTATTAGAATTACGTAGGTATTATTTGATTTTGTACTATGTAACTACATGGCTATTTAATCTTCATACCCTGTCACCATCTCTCTGACACCTTCAAGAAAAAAGCGTATTTATTATCATTTAAAAGTTCCGGCAACGTAATAAAATCCGTCGCGGAGAACCTAACGGTTTACCGGGGTTCCGGCTCAAAGTGCAGGAGTAGGAACGGGGTGGTTTTTAGTCAATAAGAGTCTGACACTCCATCTCGCCTCACCCAGGCGGAAATAGTCATTCGATGATCCCCCCCCCCCCACATTAAAAAATAAAATTTTGCGTGGCAAAACAGAAAAAAAAACAACAAAAAGGGAATATTATTTATTTTAAACGTTTATAATAATGTAAGACCTAGTATAATATCTACTATCGAACAGAACACACTAGCAACCCTAGAGTGACACAATGATTACCTACGAAAAATTTAAACAACTAATTGGTGTAAATCACACCACAATTGAAGTACTACGCTGTTTATAAGTTCAGGTGTAACTGTTGTGGCCCTCGTCTCCGCCTGCTCCTCCATACGACTTGGTACCATGATTACCACCGTGACCACCATCTCCCTTGCCTTTGCTTGTACCACCGTGACCGATGCTGAAAGAGCCAGGTCCAAAGCTACCTCCGGATAAGTTACCTAACGCTAAACTGCCTTTTGTAGCAGATACTCTGTTTCTTGGTCTATGTTTGCGCTTACCTCCTGAAAAATAAAGAGGGTTATGTTAATTATTGTTTGTAGTGTACGACTAGCACACAGGATAACTGTGATGTTATAAATGTACTTTCCATCTGTCTCCCTCTAAATCGCTAACGTTTATCGTCCCCTTACTTATATATGTCCTTGTGTGTATTGATTGCATTAATCTGTTCAAATTCAAATAACTTAGAAAGTACCTCTATACTAGAAAGAACCCAAAAAATGCACATTTTTGTTCTTGTTTGAAAACAGAGTGCATACGCATTTTTGTAGCTAACTTTCTTGCGTATTATGCCATTTTTAAACCGTGCGTAATATTATTTTAACATCCACAGTTGTACTTATTGGTATTTTAAAAAAAAACATAATATATATGCGTTCCGGCACTCCCTTTTACACCAGTTTAACTCGTCCAGTACCGTCATTATAGACACAATTAAAGAACAATAGGTTGCGGTCACCGGTGACCGCTTGGTGTTTGACAGTTTAATACATCGGACTCCATGCTAAGATATTATTATGACACGAAAATAATTTGAAGGTTTGTGTAAATTTATATGAAATGTTCACTAGGTACTGGAGATCGACTTATTATTACATACTTAATTAGCGTTACAGGCGCTGCTTTTTACTATTTTTAGTTTTATTAGTTTCATTATAGAACCCGACACTACCTACAGTAGCTGCTTTTGTTTTTGTTGCGGTCAAACTGACATAATATTAATTCGATGCTTTTCGACTGTTATACGTAAGTACATTATCATCAACAGTCTATGAGTGCCCATAGCAGTCTCTGCAAAGGCATCTAAATCACATAAAATAGCTAATCAGTAAGAAATAAATAATGGTAATGAATGTGTTACCTGGTGCCGCAATGACACAAGCGACCACGGCCAGAAGTACTACAATAGTCACTAAACGCACCATCTCTCTCACTGCAGTATAGTTCAGGACACTGATTTAGGATTCACGTGTCAAGCTTTTATATCCTTAAACTTTATTTTTATACAGCCTTATATAAAAAAACCAAGACAAATATTTTAATTTACAAAATTATTGCGAATGTCATGTTGTCCAAAAGAAACCGGTCCACAACTCCGTATAGATTGAAGGAAAAAATTGTAATAATATTAAAGACGCAGCATGATACCCGTGCTTTTTAAAAACGTATCTGTTGACATTTACGGTACAGGTTTTTTTGTAAACATACCCTAATATATTTTCTTTATAATTAACTTTCCATGTAACCACTGACTTAGACGACCTAACAGATATCAGTTAGAGTAATGACTGGATTTTTGGAATTAATGGCCATGATGATAATTGAACAAAAATTAGAAGCAGGTTTTAAATGATATTCTCAAAAACACATTTTAAGCAGGTTTGGAATGTTAATGTGTTCAATGGTCACATGACCGTGTTTTGTTTCTAAACAAAGCATATTTTATTATCTTACAAGAAACGAATTTAGGAAGTTGGTTATTAACAATGTATCTTTAATTGCACGGTTGGCAGTGGGAACTGGCTGACGCGCAACGTGTGGCGGGGTCGATAGATTCCCTCACGGAACTCTTTCTGTGATCCACAGATTGTTGCTGCAGGTTTGGGTGTCATGTGTATTTGGATTTGTATATAAACGCGACCACGATACAGGAGAAAATCTTAGCGTGAGGAAACGTTTTTTTTAGAAAATAGATCCTTTTGTTTTGGTGGGAAATAATCTATTTACCTTTCCCGCCTTGAATGAAAAGTCAAACACTCTTGCTGCCTAAAATCACCCCGCTTGCAATGCAATTGGCATCGATCATGGGTACACAAGAAGATCATGTGATCCCAAAAGTTATTCGACCTTATTTATATTATTATTTTGTATAAATTGTTTTAACATATTTCGATACACTGTATTCCTATCGCATGTATATATGTCATAACTTTTTTATATCAAAAGCCTTGATTGTTTCATTAAAGGGCAATGGAAGTTTGTTATTTCTTTTTTATATGAGAATAAGTTCGATGAAAGTGATATACATAAAAATAAATTGAAATAATACTAGAGATTTTTACTAGTACTATACTATTGTATACTAGATTTAGTAGTGAGATTAGTCTGATTATCATTATTAGGTATGTATTAATATGAACAAGTTTTTGGTAAAAAATTGTATTCTGTTATATAACAGAATTCTATGTTGTGTTTTCATTAGTATTGCATTGTCTGCTCACAAGATGGCACGCTCTGTTGCTTTACTGCTGGTGTTCGCGTTGATCGTATCTACATTGGCAGCACCATCTAAACCGAAGGAAGAAGGTAAGTATTTTTTGTTTTTTTTACATATTTGTTGACTGGCATTTGCTGACCAGGATTTTGACTGCAACTAGGTAGCATTGACTAGATGCTTTTAGTGTTATGATATGAGCAGAAATAGACAAAGAGGATAGAGCCCTTTTTTTGAGGGGGGAAAATCATATAATGACTTTTTTCGCCCGGGTGAGGTGAGAGGGAGTGTCAGACTCTTACTGACTAAAAACACCCCGTTCCTACTCCTGCACTTCGAACCGGAGCCCCGGCAACTCGTTAAGTTCTTCGCGGCTCCGGATCGGCATCAGCCCTATTTGGCCCCATCTGTGGTGGTTTGATAGCTCTTTTACGCGGAACGCGACGCGCCGTACGCTCTGGTCTGGTTCTGGTCGGGCGATGAGTCACCCGTGCTCGCCGTCCGCAGGCCCGTGTTGTCGGAAAGAGGAAGGAGCTGATTATTTGTTTATTAAGTACTAAACCGTAATTCTACTAATATTTTTAGAAATAGGTATTATAATAATCACATTATCTTAAATCTCTGCTGACGACACCGATCAGTTATTAATAATTTATTTAAAAATTGTGATTTTATTATGAGTATAACAAAATGTATTACTATGTTAACTTGTTTTAATACGGTCAAATAAATTCATATTCAAAATGCAATTTGTTATAACGTCACTTACTTCATTTTAGTTTTTTAAATGGCAATGTGTAGGCGTGGGCTTATGATGTTTTCGTTTCAAAAATGTAATGATACAATCAGTAATTGATTACTTCCCAAATAATTCAAGTTAACTACATCTTTTTATGTTCACGATTTGTAGTAGACTAAGGCCTCGTTGCCCGAATGGTCGCAAGTGCGACTGCCGGGCAAGCGGTCTCGGGTTCGATTACCGGCTCGGGCAAAGTATTGGTTTTTTAAAAAAATGTCAGTAGTAGCACGAAGTCTGGAAATGTGCCCGGTATATGGCAATAGGCTCACCCGGTGTTGCCTCTGTGTGCACCTCTGCCTACCCCTTCGGGGATAAAAGGCGTGATGTTATGTTTTGATTTCTAGTACCTACTAATTAGAAAACCGGACTTTTTGTTCATTATCGTATTGTAGATTTAAGGATATGTAAAAGTGAGTGATGATGTTTGAGTGCTTATAAACTAGTGTTAACAATAAATACTGTTTACTTTCAGAAAATGAAGAGGAATATGACGATGAAGAATACGAAGATGGAGTAAAAGCTGATGATGGGAGTATTGGAATTTTAGGTATAAGCGGTGGTACGTTTGATGCAGGCAGTTTCAGTATTGGCCATGGGGGAGACAGTCAAGGGGACGGTGATGGTGGACACGCTGGCAACCATGGCAGTACCTCCTATGGTGGATCTGGAGGTGATAAGGGCCATAATAATTATGGAAAGAAGTAGTCTAGTCCCAATGAATAAATAAGTAGTCAGCTACAGTTTTATATCCACTCAATGGTCTTAACAAAATTGTATCGTATGTAACAGTTGTTTGTAGAAGGTATTGACAACTCATTACCAAATTCCGTTTCAAATATTCCATTCAAAAGTTGTCTGTAAGAAATTGCTGTGTGTGATAAGACCGCCCATTGTACTCAAATTAGGTACTATTACAGTGTAAACGATTTTTTCTATATGTGTGTAAGTTTAAAATAAATAAATAACAATTAATAGTTATAATAGAATAGATGACTAATTTTTATTTTAATGCCCGTCTGGTAGATTATTTAAAAACATTAGATACGTATTTTTATTTTCTTACGGAAACGAATAGTTTCGAAGATATATTGATTTTAAATATCGCATGACGTCACTTTTGAGTAAAATTTATACTCTAAAATGACGTAGCCACTTCCCACTCCTAAACTTGTTTCGTTTTATTTAAGTATTGTTTTTTATACGACAAAATAAAAATATTTTTTCATTACCTTACTGACGGACTGATTAGGTTTTTAATTTTCATACCCTATCATTATCCTAATTGTTCATTTTTTTTGATTATCAGCGATAGATTAATATATACTTCTCCTAATATTTACATTTATTTATACAGTTGCAAATTTGTACGGTTTGATGAAGTAATAAGTTTAATAAAATATAGGTATTTGTATTGTGTTTCATTTGTCTGTATATTAATTAATTTTATTATAACTCTGGATACACACTACACTCCAGTTGCTTTAGAAGATTTTCAATTGAGATATGCCAATGAATTTGTGATGTGTTTTTACAAATACTCCTGTCATAACCATTCGGAGTCGCGGAGAACCTAACGGGTAACCAGGGCTCCGGCTCAACGTGCAGGAGAAGGAACGGGGTGGTTTTTAGTCAGTAAGAGTCTGACACTCCCTCCCGCCTCACACAGGGCGGGAGCAGTCATTCGATGATGTTACACCCTTAAAAGAATATGGTATGTAATATCATATGTAATATATATAAAGTGTGTTTATTTGTTTGTCTTTCTTTCAAAGCACTATCTATTAGTAGGGGAGCCCACGATGCTAAATTTGGATTTACTTGAGCGTCGTTGGGACCTACTGGTTTTTGAAGATATGCTGATAGAAAGAAGAAATGGTTTAGTGACAATTTCTTCCACCGGTGGGGGAAGGGGGAATCCACAGATCTTTGAAATTGTTAAGCGTAACTTTTGTTCTAGTGGTCGAGCGTGTCAGATATTGATAGTGTACATGTTCCATGTGTATTTAATAATTAAAAACTCTTAATCTGCCAGTTTGCATGGTGGGGTTGAATGTTCTGGAGAGTACAAACGAGAACCCTTCAAAATCCCCACTCGTGCAAATCAAGCAGGAATGGGCAGATTTTTCAAACGCAATTCCTTTAGCATGGTATTGACCTACCTTCCCTTAATCTGACGAAACTGACTTTATTAAGTCAGACTTTTTTTTTTTTCGTCCCCCCCTTCTAATCAGGTCGGATATATGGTGGGTATATTCAACATGACACTAGGTTTTCTCCATATGTTAATCTGACGCGCTCGAGTATCTACCGAAGTCCCTTCATGGGCTCCCCTACTATATGGAGTAATATTTGTATATTCGTGTGTCTTTTATTATCATCATCATCACCATCAAACGTGGATTGGCGATTTCGAAGTTGTAGTTGGAATTGTTGGTCCAGGTTTCTTCAATATCCAGTGTCATATAGAGGTATAAGTGACAGAATCACAGGATGCTCCGTGCGCTTTTCCATATTTTTAGGACGTAGGATTCAGTAGAATTCCTATCTACCAACATACAGCAGAAGATAAAAATATTAATAACTTATCAATATCATTTTAACTTTGACCGACCGATGTTCGATTACACATTTTGTACATTTAATGCAGTGCATTTAATTAACCGACCAGACTAGTTTTCAATATGCATAATATACTTTTATCTGTAGTATAAGGAAAATAAGAAAAGCTAAAAGCGGGATATTTTCGTAACCTACCGTAACGTCTGTCGAGTGCTTGTAAAATGCAATGTTATTGCAGGGTTGTACGAAATATGTATTATTGTTTCTTTTGTTTGTGTTTCGGAAGTTACCGCACAAAAACCAGTCTAGTACGGTACCCATAGAGAAAGATATTTTTATAATAATTATGTAATTATTACAGAATACCCTATTATTACTCTTTATTTTATTTATCGTTGAAAACGAGCCTTTTGGTCTCCTAGGAGCCAACTATGAGGATGGATAGCACAGCTCCTAAATGGGGTAGTAGCAACCAAGTAGTAGCAGCCTTACAAAGTCGCTTTGTCGGTGGAGCGGATGACCTGAGTCCTCAACATCTTAGAGAATCGACGGGGCCAGACGTCAGGAAATCCGGTGGGTTGCTTTTGAAGGAGTTTAAGAGTAGTAATGTAACCGATGCCGTAATCTACATCTTGCACGGGGCCAATTTGTGTGCCCTGCGCAAAAAAGATGGTATCCATCGCATTTCCGTGTGTTAAGAGCTGAAGTCTAAGCTAGTTACAAAACCTATATAAGAAGAAAGAAAGAAAAATAATTTATTTGGTACAACACCAGGCACAAACACAATACAATAAATACAATGCAAACAAAAAATTAGGAGTGAAATAAAAAAAATTAAAAAAAGAAAAACAAAAATAGATGTAGGTATATACAAAAATTTAAAAGTCAAATATACCAACAATAATAATCATGTGCCCGACAGCTGCACCAAAAAAGGTCCAGTTCAGCATACATGCCAGACATCTAGTGCCTGACGCTGGTTTTCAACTGAACCTGTGGCAGTGACGCAACGGACGTAAAGCAGTAAATGCAGAGTAGCGTGTGAAGTGTATTATAAAATTATTAAGTAATTTATATAGATATACCATAATACATACATACATATAATAATAGGGTATAGTAATTACACAAAAAAGATTTATTAAATATGATTAAAATTATATTGCGTGTGTATGAACAGAATGCACGGGTACATTATATAATTGAGGTATTCTGCACCACCATATCAAGCCTTCGCTGTGTATCGATGAGGTATTTTCGCAAGCGTCTTCTAAATGCACCCATTGTATTGACATATATTGACATCTTTAACTGCACGGTTGGTGTTTTGTGTGATCCACAAATTATTGTTTCGGGTCTGGGTATCATTGTGTTTGTAAACTTGTATGTTTGTAAACGCACCCTTGACACAGGAGAAAATCCTAATGAGGAACAACGTTCTTTTTTAAATAAAAAAATAAATTAAAATAATAATAAAATGACATATTAATTCAGTCCTCTCTCTAATCATCGACTGATAAATTATTTAATGACTAATGACTAATAAAATAGTTTCAAGAATACCACTGTTCTGTAGGTACTGATAAAACCGCTTCAATTTCAGGTGGAAGTGAGAATATTTGGGCTTCGCCTACAATACCAAACACTACTGTCAAGACTGACACAGCGCTCAGAATATAAAGTACTGCTGCTGCAGCTGACGTCATACTGAGAGTAACCAGCTTTGCTGCTGTACCTCATGTTCTGCTTACAGTATCTAGCACTGCTAATGAACCGAATTCAGTCGATTAAATCATTTCATGTACTTATTTTATGTTTTATTTCCGTACTAGCTTTTACCCGCGGCTTCGCTCGCGTCACAAAAGGATAAACGTAGCCTATACCAATACCATATAAAGAGCCATCAGACCACCACAGTTGGGGCCCAACAGGGCCGATGCCGATTCGGAGTCGCGGAGAACCTAACGGGTTACCGGGGCTCCGAAAATTCGCATTCGAGGCTTGTAATAGACCTACTAGAATTACAGAAAGTGTTTCGTATTCATTTATTTGTTAAATAAGGTTTTACATATGCTTAAAGCTAAGTACATTTATGGACCCTGTAAGGGCACAGCAATATTTGTTAAAATAAATCTATTTTTAAAAGATATCATCCGATACCAATACATTTGTATCATCCAATATTTAATTAAATATTATGTATGTACAGTGTATATGATTAATGAAACGTTGCAGTTTAGTTAATGCTATTTTTATTACAGTTTCATTTTTAGTAGCTATCTGTCGTCTAGTTATTGCACGGCTCTTATTGCTTGTAGCTTGATATTTTATAGCTTACAGCCTTTCTGGATAAATACACTATCCAATACAAAAATCATTGTTTTTATAATAGCTATCGTTAATAAATTAACTAAAATCGCGGGTTACTCACGTGAATATACTGAGAAAAGCTCTACTAGTTTGGAACCACAGAGGGGTTCTTCCTCATGAGCAGCGTGCGCGGTCGCGGCAACGTCGCGCAGCTCACTGTAACTAGTAGAGAGACACAAGAGTAATACAGAAACTAGTGGAGCTTTTCTCAGTATATTCACGTGAGTAACCCGCGGTTTTAGTTAACAAAAATAATTGTTCAAATCGGACCAGTACCTAGTTCTTGAGATTAGATTTTAGATTAAACAAATAAACACTTAACAATAGTGTATATATTAAAACAATAGTATAAGATAACCTTCGATCAACAATGACAATTGTTGATCGAAGAAGATAACATAACATTTAACATCAGCATACCATTTTCACTATTGCAGATATAGGGGGTAACCATACGCATTTAAGTCAGGGTACGGATAGGCTGGCGGCTGGGAAGGGTACGGATAGGCTGGCGGCTGGGAATAATAAGCATCATTACTAACTCCTTTAGCGACACCTCCTAGCAAAGAGATGCCGTAACCGTTTTGGTTGTTTGAATTTGTGGTTTTTCCGGCGTTTCCTGAAAATGATACCAGTCAGATATTAGTTTTTTATTTTTCAATAGCACAATATTAAAAAAATATATATTTACTTCAAAGGTAATAGAAATGTACAAAATAATATTTATTATACATAGTGTCTAGCGATACAGTTACGGCAATATACATTTAAAACAACTTCTTTTTTTTTTTAATTTTAGTAAGTTATTAGTGTAGGTAATGCGTCAAGCATGTCTTTGCATTGTTTTTACATATGCGTACAGTATTGAAATATGTATCAGAGACATTGTAGAACATACTTTTTTAAAAAGAGTAACGAATGGAGTTTTTTGCTCGTTTTTCTCCATTCGAATCTACTTTTTGGAATGAGCACCTAGCTTCACCTAGTTTCACAGACGGACAGACTGACAGACTATTATTTATTTTGTATTTGTTGACGTTTCAAAAGTACCAAACTATGGTTTAATTGAAATAAATGCTTTGACTTTGACTTTGACTTCTAATCTTCCCGCGGTTGTCGTAAATGCCATGTTTGTAACTGATTGAAACTGTAAAAGCCTTATTTGAATAGGCTCTTGATAAAAACTTGTAAGGTAGGTGCGGTTCAAGCCGCATTCAAAGATACATCAAGGGACATCGTATGTACTGATGCCTGAATACGTCTAAATGAAATGATTAACATAAACTTATATAATTTTATGAAACTAATCCCTGTACAAACGACAAAAGATGAAGTAAATAAATAAGTATCTGTTTTTTAATACAGAAAGAATGGGGATGATGACAGGGTATGAAAATTAAAAATATAATTAGTCCGTAAGTTAGGTAATCAAAAAATATTAGACACGTATTTTTTATTATGTCGTATAATAAAACAATACTTACATAAAACGAATCAAAGTTTAGGAGTGGGGTCTATAACGTCATTTCTTTGTATAAAATGTACTGAGAAGTGACGTCACGCGACATTTCAAATCAATATATCTTTATCTTCGAAACTATTCGTTTCCGTAAGAAAATAAAAAAATACGTGTATAATGTTTTTATTTAAATAATCTACCAGACGGACATTAAAATAAAAATTTGTCATCTACCCTATTTAGAATAGAATATCAGTAAGTGAAAAACTCGAATACAAAAGCATTATTATTTATAGAAGACCTTAGTTATGTTCTGGAAGACCTGGTACCTTAGTTATGTCCACATTTCAGAATTGAGTACATGATTATAAATAGGTTTCAGTTAATCTTGAAGTCGGGTTTTTTTGCTTGCTTAATTGTATCGAAGCTAGCATAAACAAAGAAAGAAATTACTATCGAAACATAGTGTAAAGATGAGAGAGATGATAGAGTATGAAACGGCATTAAATGTTATATCGATAATTTTTGAAACAGACGATGATAGTTTGACACAAGAATGGAAAAATAAGTTACAGGCGATCTCTGAAAAGATAGGTGTGTTCATGAATTAAACCGGTCAATGTAATCTGTAGTGGTTAAGACTAGGTTTAAGATGATAGCACCCACTCCAAATGCTTGAGGGTGCGAAAACGGGCACAAAATCAATGTGACATTTTCGATGTACTTTTTAAAATTATATGTATAAACATCACTGATATACGGCGGAGGAAAATAACGTGAGGAAATCTGAACTGATAATTGAAAATTATAAGTTTGAAATCGTCTAATCGCCTTGAGCAAGCGTAATTGTTATTGGAAAATAATACACGCAATCCCAATAATGTTTCGCACAGGAATATGATAACGATCACGATGGTGATCCCGTCGTGTTTACCGTAGTAGTTGTCTCCAACTTGTCCACCACTTCCACCGTGTCCACTCCCACTACTGCTTCCTCCTGTACCAAAATTATATGTTTGCCTTCTCAATCTTTTTTTATTTATATTGTCGTCATCATAATATTCTGAAAAGAAAATAATTTATTACATTACGTTTTTTAAGCTAAACCAATCCTATAAGTCTACGTCTTAGGCCGTCACAGATTTAGCTATTATAATATAAATGTCGGAGGAATAATTCAGTTTAGATTTTATGATTATACGTAAGTGTGGGAGAGCCCTGCTTCGGTACGAATTGACCGGCTCGACCGCTGCGATACCACGGCCTCACACAAAACCGACTTGAAACAACGCTTGCGTTGTGTTCGTCGTGTGAGTGAGGTTACCGTAGGCCTAACTGCCCTCCACCCCCACCCTTCCACAATCCCTGAATCCCCAACAATCCTCAAATTCCTAATCCCAAAAGGCCGGTAACGCACTTGTAATACCTCTGGTGTTCTAAGTGTCCATGAGCGACGTCGATTGCTTACTATCAGGTTATCCGTTTATAAAAGTAAGGAATAAAATATTTCTTTTATATAATTATAGTTTAATAGTTGTAATCAACTGCCCAATGAATAACATGGGAACAAAATCTATTAAGATTGTAAAACAATTTCTATTTGTCAGCGTTTCAAGATCGTTCCATTTACACTCGTATAAAATAAATAGTCTACATCAATCACAAATCATCACCATGCTATTAGACGTTCTCGTTCTCTAATTTTACATATAAATTAATATTATTATATTAATATTACATATACTTATTAATAGCTTACCTTCAGAAATAAAAATTAATATTACCTACGCAAAAGAACATAAAATGTAAACTAAAGCAATTTTACACAAGTATTATTTAGGAATGTGTTTGTTTATCCTAGGTTGTATAACAATTCGATTTTGAGACTGATTTATGATAGCACAAGTTTAAACCTTAGTGGATTTTGGTTGCTATATTAAACTGATAATCCTGTACTTATTGTAAATAAGTTAAATGCGTCACTGCGACACAAACAGCCAGTTTACGATGTGAGTCGGGCGCATGTTTGCGCTCAAGCGAAGCAAACCATAAGCTCCTTTCCTTCCCACGTAGACGTGATATTTTCTTAGCGAGAGGGCATCATAGAGCTGGCCATGATTGGACATGGTTAGGTTAGAATGAATTATACGTTTATCCTTCAAAACTAGTATGAGATAACTATATCTGTTTTAAGGGGTAAATCATAAAGTGATTGCTCCCGCCTGGGTGCGGCGAGAGGGAGTGTCAGACTCTTACTGACTAAAAACCACCCCGTTCCTTCTCCTGCACGTCGAGCCGGAGCCCCGGTTACCCGTTAGGTTCCCCGCGACTCCGTCCTAGTAGGATCAAAAACGTTGTTATAGGTAGGATGATCCTACCTCTTTTGAAGCCACCAACTCCAGCTGGACCGCCTCCATAACTGTTACCTCCATTACCAGCACCACCGTTGATATTATATACAGAGGATGGACTTCCGTTATTGCTGACATTTCCTGCAAGCAAACAATTTTTAAAACAAGATTTTATTAAAAAATCCAACTTCTTGTAGTTGCAGAGAGCCTAACGTGTTACCGTGGCTCCGGCTCCACGTGCAGGAGAAGGAACGGGGTGGTTTTTAGTCAGTAAGAGTCTGACACTCCCTCCTGCCTCACCCAGGCGGGAGCAGTCATTCGATGATTTTCCCTCCTTAAAAAAATACCACAATCTACTCAAATTCCCCAAACATCCCGATCCCTTTAGACGTTTTGTACATGCACACACACACATACATCCTCAAGCACACAAACTTTCGCAATTATAATTTAGTAGGATAGGATTTACCGTAGTAGTTATTTCCAACGTGTCCACCATTTCCACCGTGTCCACTCCCATAGCTGGGTCCTCCTGCACCAAAATTGTATGTTTGCCTTTTCAATTTCAAACTTGTTTTATATGCATTGTCGCGGTCCTTGTATAATTCTTCATTATCTTAAAACAAATATTTGTTTACAATAAATTACACCAACCTAAAAAGAACCTCCAAACTAAGATAGGTGGCATTTAAATTGAAGACAAGAATGCTTGGCAACATGTTGGTCCGCCTCCACTGGGCAATACCTACCCAAACATAAACACACAATAAACAGACAAATACAAAAAGTAGCTCTGCTCAAATTCTAATAATAGGTTTTTGTATTATCTTAATTCTAGTAATCAAGTATATGCCATCGAAAATTTCTCTTTTAATCTGAATAGTTTAAGTTTGTTATTTGGAGAAGCATTATCTCAAATTATTAGTGTGCATTATGTGACCACCATGTTTGTAATTTGTAAAAATCGGTTATGGTTAAGGTCTCATGAATTGATTCTATAGTCCCATTAGTTTTGACGTTGTATTGTGGTTGCAATGTTCTCCCATATGTTATACAACAACGGAATAAAATCGGTGAGAATGTAAAAAAAACATTTAAAAAGCGGAGTTTCTTGGTCGTTCTTCTCCATACGAACAGCTACAATGACGGACAGTTCATTTCTGACGTTACTAAAGTACCTATAGATAAATATATTGAAATAAATGCTTTGACTTCGAAACTGTGATTGAAAAAGAAATATCTGGTGTTTTAGAAGTACCTGGTGACTTGAGTGAATTTGCGGAGACGCAGGCGACCAGGAACGAAAATGATATTAGCACTGTGAGCCGCGCCATACTGACTTCTAGACGTGTGTGCCGACAACTGGTTACTGTGTCTCGATTCACAATGATCTCCTATAAATAGGAAAATAATAATTTTATAACAAGATTCTAAATCTCTTGAATATTTAAATGTGTTCTAAATAAAAAATATGATATCAATATATATTTTAGTAAGCGCATAACTTCCGAATGACTGCACCAAATTGGATAGATCTTAACCTTCTTCAGTCTTAGAAAAAAGTCAAATAACAGCGACCGGCTTAGCATGGTCGGTAATTTTGATTCTTCCACAATACATAAAATGCAAGGCAGCACCCGCGTCCGCTCGCTGTCGGATCAGGCAGTGTCCCGGGGTGGGGTTGCGTAGGCGATAAGCCTAGATATCGTAAACGCCTTCAACTCCCTACCCTTGTAGGCAATCATCCTGTGATAACAAGAGCCTCCCGCTCTTGTTATCACAGGATTCCTTCCTATTTGCAGAATATTGTCGGGGTTATCTGCACGACCGGCACATTCGCTATGTGGGCCGGGACGGTAGCGTCCAGCGCAGCGGAGGGAGATTACATGCGGAGTTCCACAGGGATCTGTCCTGGGTCCTTTATTGTGGAACCTCGCTTACGATGCGATCCTGCGTTTCGAACTTCCCGCTGGTGTCCATGTCATTTGTTACGCAGATGACACGTTGGTAATGGCCAGTGGAAGTATTTTTGAGGAAACTATCCGGCTTTTAGAGCTCGGGGCGGCAAAGGTCGTGACTTCAATCCGCAAACTGGGTTTGGAGATAGCGCCTCATAAAACTGAGGCTCTATGGATTCATAAGTTGCTGAAGACCAAGGAGCCACCCAGTTCGTCAGTCCACGTTGGAGATGCGCAAGTCCATGTTGGGCTATACATAAAGTATTAGACCTGACCTTGGATGGTCGGTGGGGCTTCGAAGAACATTTCGAACGCCTGGTCCCTCGAGTTGAGAAGGCTGTGGGTGCTCTGCACAGACTGCTGCCTAATATTGGGGGACCTCGTGAAGAAGTTCGCCACCTCTATGCGGGTGCCGTGCGAACGGTGGTCCTTTATGGGGCGCCTGTTTGGTCAGCTCGACTGTCAGGCGCCCGACGCTGTAGAGCGAAAATTTTTCGTTTGCAGCGGAAAATGGCCATCTGCATCGCACGAGGATACCGTACGGTATCTTTTGAGGCGGCAACTCTCCTGGCTCGCTTTCGGCCATTGCCAGCATAGCAGTTAAGGCTATGCTGGCAGATACAGAAATTTGGAGGGAAGTGGCCTCCTTTTGTGAGACTGTAATGTCCCAAAAGGAAGCTGGTGAGCGGGGTCGCGACAGGGCAGATCCTGCTCGTAGAAATCCGCTCAACGCCGAAATCCCGCCTGCATAAACATCAGGCGGACCTTTGGGGCCACGGGTGCGTAGAATGGGGACTCTAGGTGCCCACCCTGTGGTCTCAGGGAAGACGGTGGCACAGTGGTCACGTGCCGCCGTACACAGCAAGGCTTAAAGGAGACACCCGTCTCCCTGGGGATGTGTCGTAACAGGCGTTGCACCGTGGAGGCTCCGGAGAAGGTCTCTTTTAGAGGACCCGGTGCCTCCATTCAGGTGTTGAGGGTGGCCACTGGGGTGGTTTTAGTGAGGTAAAAATCCCACACTCCCTAGTCTTATCCCCAAAAAGGATAGGCGCCTTTTGTTGGTTTTTCCCCGTCATTAAAAAAAGGGAACACCGTGGATCACACAGTCGTATACTTAGGTGCGAAACTGTTTGAGGAAGGTCAAGCCTACGTGACTCTTAGTACAGTAAGATCTCTGTAGGATACGTATTGAGGTTTTGAACTGCAATAAACTAACGGTCAAGAAACCTTGCAATAATAAAACTCTGAATGAATGAAACAGAATGTGATATAAAAACTAAAAACTAAAAACTAGAAAATGAAAATGATAAAAAGCTTTTTAAGTTAAACATAAGTACATACATTGCAATGTAAAAGATAAATAAATGCCCTAAAAGTTAAAAAATAATAAAATAGATACAGTTGGGGGCATTATTAAAAAAAAGTATGCATAGACTAGACTAAAAAAAACCGTGTCGTGGGGCATGTCAATAATTTGTTGAGCTCCTCGTCAAATTATTACGTGAGTAAGCCAGAAAACATAATAGGTAATAGGTATAATTTTTATGCAAGTATTGATGATACTACCGAAGTTTTGTGCCAAACCAAGTTATATACGAGTAAAATAATACTGATAAAATATTAGTATACATGATAGCTTTGCAGATGTATGTTTGTTTATGTTGTTCTGAAAACACGTTCACTACTTTTTGCATTGATACCGCGGGCCAAAGCCGCTGGTAATTAAAACTGCATACCATTTTTTTTAAAGGGGGGAAAATCATCGAATGACTGGCTCCCGCCTGGGTGAGGCAGGAGGGAGTGTCAGACTCTTACTAACTAAAAACCACCCCGTTCCTTCTCCTGCACGTCGAACCGGAGCCCCGGTTACCCGTTAGGTTCTCCGCGACCGTATATAAGTATACGACTGTGTAATATATGTATATGAAGGTATAAGTGGACGACACCTAAGGGTGCGAAACTGTTTGAGGAAGGTCAAGCCTACGTGACTCTTTTTAGAGTAAGATCTTTGCAGGATACGTATCGAGGTTCTGGACTGCAATAACCTAACGGGCAAGAAACCTTGCAATAATAAAGCACTGAATGAATTAAACAGAATGAGATATAAAAACTAAAAACCAGAAAATGAAAATTATAAAAAGCTTTTTAAGTTAAACGAAAATGTACTTACATTGCAATGTTTAAGATAAATAAATGCCCTAAAAGTTAAATATAATAAAATAGATACAGTCGTAGGCATTATAAAAAAATGCATAGATTAGACTAAAATAAACCGTGCCGTGGGGCATGTCAATAATTTGTTGAGTTCCTCGTCAAATAATTACGTGAGTAAGCCGGAAAACATAATAGGTTATAGGTACGATTTAAGCAAGTGTTGAGGATACTATCGAAATTTTGTGCCAAACCAAGTTATATACGAGCAAAATAATACTGATGAAATATCAGTATACCTACATGATAGCTTTGCAGATGTATGTTTGTTTATGTTGTTCTGAAAACACGTTCACTGTTTTTGCCTTGATACCGCGGGCCAAAGCGGCTGGCAATTAAAACTGTATACCATTTTCTTTTTTTTTTAAAGGGGGGAAAATCATCGAATGACTGCTCCCGCCTGGGTGAGCCGGCAGAGGGTGTCAGACTCTTACTGACTAAAAACCACCCCGTTCCTTCTCCTGCACGTCGAGCCGGAGCCCCGGTTACCCGTTAGGTTCTCCTTGACTCCGAATCGGCATCGGCCCTACTGGGCCCCATCTGTGGTGGTCTGATGGCTCTTTGAGGCGCACGCGGAACGCGACGCGCCGTACGCTCGGGTAAAACTGTATACCATACGACTCATAATATTAATAACCTACCCATAATATAATATTAATAACCTGCATCTTTATAATTTAAAAACTTATTTATTATAGAAAAACATTAACAACAAAAATTAAATGAGAGCTTCTCGTCTGAATCGTCCTGGTGTCCACTGAACTTGACTTGTTTGTCCAGGTCACAAAAGGTCACTGCTGTAATTCCGTCAAATGGAAATAAAACAACATTTACAAGTTAATTTATTATTAGGAGATTTTTTCTTGAATAGATTATTCATTTGTCACAAGGAATTTGCATATGGAATTTGAATTTGCTTTAAATGAAAGAAGCTATCCGGGAGCGAAATACCTAATGGCATAACAATTTGTAAGTATTATTCTTGATATTTTTTGCATTTACAGTATACTTTTTGACGGCCTATTTGGCTGAGTGGTCACAAGTGCAAGGGGTCTCGGATTCGATTCCCGGGTCGGGCAAAGTATTATTGGGTTTTTAAGAATATTAGTAGTAGCACGAAGCCCGGAAATGTGCCCGGTATATGGCAATAGGCTCACCCCTTATTACATGGGACTCATAAGATAAATAGTGAACAGCAGGTGTTGTATTGTATAGTGGCATTAAGTGCCGTAATTTGCACTTCTGCCTACCTCTTCTGGAATAAAATGATGATGTTATGTTATGCATATTTTTCTCCGCCTAACAGATATTAGAGATTTCTTCGAACAAGAAGCGCATTTGGCATGTCTGTCGACTGGAAGTTTAGGTACTTTTACGGACTCCCTCGTTTACGTTGGGTTTGTTGAATTTTCTGTAAAGATTTGTTATATGGGGTATATTTTATTTTATACAAGTAGAGATTTTGAGTTGCAGGAAACACACCAATTTAATTTAAAAACTGAATTATTTGCCATAAAATTTTACGGCTGTAAGAAAAGGTGCTCTTTCATAAACGATTTTTTATCCGATTCGATTGTACGAATATGCAATAAAAATGTAATTTAATTTTAACACTATCCAGAAATAGACATTTCGACAAATACACAGCGCACCAGTTGTTTCTTTAACTTTAAAATGTTTACTAGAGATTTTTCAGCTGACTACTTTTTCAGTATTAGGTAAATAAAAGAGCAAACATTTTTTTTCTTCTATCGCCCGTAACAAATTTTTCCATATTTTGGGCACATTCTCTTTGGAATAGGTTTCATTCATTTAATGTTTTTTTCAAACTTTAAATGCACCAACCTATACAGAGTGAAAACAGAACGCTTCCGAAAAACGCCGGCAGGTCATAGTAGGTCATAGTAAAAAAAAGTTTTATTTCATAATTAAATGTTTCTTCTGTGAAATACTGATTGTAATCAACTGCTTAAGGCTAAGGTTGTACGAAGAACACGAAAACTAAACCGATTAAAATTGTTAAAACAATTTCTTTTTGTTAGCGTTTTGGGTGGTGATTATTGTTTGCTACTCTGCTATCATTCATTCATACAGAGAAGAAAGAAGAAAAGTTCGCTATTAGACATGATGCACCGACAAAATATACAAACAAAAATAATACTAAA